CTTCTTTGAGACGTGTTGACTTCGCAAACAATAGCTTGTCAGGAAACCACCCAGTAACCATAAATAATGATTTTCCTGTTCTTGAAGAGCTGTATCTTTCTGAAAATTAGCTCACTGGTCAAATTCTGTCCAACTTGTGGGAATGCAGAAGGTTCTGAGTATTACAATTGTCATATAATAAATTCACAGGCAGCTTATTTAAGAATATTGGAAACCTTACTGCGCTCAAAGATCTATATGTGAGTGGTAACAGTTTTACAGGTAATCCCTCCTTCATACTGCCTCTATTTTGGTCTATGAATATCTTGTTGGAAGGGAGGAAAAAAAAAAAAAAAACAATGGGAAAAGTCTAAAGTTCACACGTACCTTCCAGATTTCACTGCCTTTATAAATTTGGTTTCAGTAAATGTATCTCATTTACATAATTATTCTTGATTGAGTAATGCAAGTGTTCAGATTGCTACAGGTGCATTACCTAATGAGATTGGTAACCTTGATCTTGAAGGATTTAGTATCCATCTAAAGTCTAAACAACCTAACTGGCCTCATTCCGTCCAAAATCTTCAATGTGACAAAAAAAAAAAAAAAAAAAAAAAAAAAAAAAAAAAAAAAATCTTTGATTTGAACAGAATGAAAAGTTTGGTGATGGGGCTTTGGCTTCCCAATCTTGAAAAGCTTTATCTAGGAAGGAAGAAATTCAGCGGAATAATCCCAAGCACTATATCCAATTATTCTAAGCTTACCATGCTAGATATGTCAGGCAACTCCTTCACTGGCTCTATACCAAACACGTTTAGTAGTTTAACACTCTTACAATGGCTCTACCTTGGTGAAAATAACTTGACAGTGGAATCTTCTATTCCAGAATAAAGATTTTTCCACTGCTTTAACCAATTGCAAACATTTGGAAGTAGTGAGCATAGCAGTAAATCAATTTAATGCATAGTTGTCAAAAGCGCCGAAGGCGCGCGCCCGAGGCGCAAGGCGCCTACAGGCGCAAGTCCTGCGCCTTTGTATGCATAAGGCGATGCCCTTTGAACAGGCGTGCGCCTTTACATAAGAGGCGAGAGGCCCCGGGCGTAAAAAAGGCGCGCCTCCTTTAATTTGTTAGTATTCTGTTATTAGTTTATTATTTGCTGTCTGTTTATTATTTATTATTTGTTTATTATACTTTTTAGACAACTTTACTAAAATAAAAGAATAAATAAACGCAAAAGGAAAGTGCAAAAGTGAAGTGAGTCGGCTAGGGCTGAGAAACTTTGAAGCAAAGAGAAAGACAGAGGCTTGTGATTTGAAGGCTTGAAGCAAAGACACGATCTGAATCTGCCGACTTTCTCTCACGAATCACGATCTTGGAATCCAAGTAAGTTACTGTTCTCTCCTTCTTCTCTCTTCTTTTCTCTCTCTTCGGCAGATTCTTCTCTCTTCTTCTGCAGATTCTTCTCTCTTTTTTTCTCTCTTCTTCTTCTTCTTCTTCTTCTCTCTTTTTTTCTTCTCTCTTTTTTTCTCTCTTCTTCGGCAGATTCTTCTTCTTCTTCTTCTTCTTCTTCTTCTTCTCTCTTTTTTTCTCTTTTTTTCTTCTCTCTTTTTTTCTCTCTTCTTCGGCAGATTCTTCTCTCTTCTTCAGCAGATTCTTCTTCTTCTTCTTCTTTATAGTAAACTTTCTCTGTGCACAGTTTTTTTTTTTTTAATTTTTTTATTTTATGAAATATGTGTCTTCATTTCTTTTCTCTTTTGAACTGAACTGTAAGTTTGGAACTGGACTGCAGCTCTGTGTCTTCTTTTCCCTCTTTTTTTTTTTTATTTTTTTATTTTTTTTTAATGAATTGAACTGGAAGTTTGGAACTGGACTGCAGCTCTCTGTCTTCTTTTCTTTTTTTATGAACTGAACTGGAAGTTTGGAACTGGATTGCAGCTCTGTATTTTTTTTTTAATTGAAATGTTAATATTGCTTTGAAATTGAAATCTGGTTTTGCTAATTGAAATCTGGTTTATTTTGTTACAACACCAATAATTGACATGAATTTATTTTGTTATCTTGAATTTGAATGTAGTTTGTACTTTAAAAGATGCCTAGTATTTTATTGTCTATGTTTGTTTTAGTTTTATCTCATAATTCTCATTAGTTGACTTTTGCATCTTTATATTATTATGTTTAATTATTTACTGTTGAACTCAAATACTTGATTTAGTTGGCTTTGGCATCTTTATGTTGAATATTCAACTTAAGTAATTGATTTAGTTGACTTTTGCATCTTTATATATAGGTTTTTTTTTTTTTTTTTTTTTCAACGTGCGCCTTGCTTCAGTCGGGCGTGCGCCTCGCCTTGCGCCTTGCGCCTCAGGCTCCAGGAGGCCTTTGCGCTTTTGTGCACCTTGAGCCTTTAACAACTATGATTTAATGGCATACGTCCAAATTCAATGGGGAACTTGTCCACTTATCTACAAATTTTTCAAGCATTTGGATGCAAAACAAGGGCAGTATCCCCAGTGGAATTGGCAATTTGAGTAGCATGGAAGTCATAAGCTTGGATAGCAACGAGTTAAACGGACTTATCCCAACAACAATCGGAGGGTTACAGAATCTTGATCGTTTGTGTCTTGAATACAATAGTCTGCAGGGACCTATCCCTGATGATCTCTGCCATTTAACCAACTTGGGAGACTTGTATGCAAGTAACAATAAGCTTTATGGACCGATACCAACATGCTTGGGAGAACTCAGGACTCTTAGAAGACTCTACTTAGACTCCAACCACTTAACTTCCATGATACCTTTAAACTTGTTGAGCCTTAATGATCTAGTGGGTCTAAATTTGTCCACAAACTCTCTAAAGAGGTAATCTACCAATACATATTGGGAATTTGAAGGTCATAACTCAATTAGACTTGTCATGGAACCAGTTATCAGGTGATGTCCCTAGCACAATTGGAAGCGCTCGATCATTAGTTAATCTCTCCTTGGCGGATAATGAACTGCAAGGACATATTCCTCAATCACTAGGCAACTTGATAAGCTTGGAATTCTTAGATCTATCCAACAACAATTTTTCCGGAGAGATTCCAAAGTCCCTAGAGACGCTCAGGTATCTCCAATATTTGAATGTATCTTTCAATAGACTCCAAGGAGAAATTCCAACTGGAGGACATTTTGTGAACTTTACAGCTCAATCATTTATACATAATGATGCACTTTGTGACCTAGCCCAATAGCAAGTCCCGCTTTGAAAAACCAACAAGAACCAAAGATCGAGGTCAAAAATTGTACCGTTGTTGAAATATATTTTACCTCTTATTGCGTTGATAACTCTTGTGGTGTCTCTCATAATTGTGCTGATACGTCGAAAACAAATGGTCAAATTATCAACAAATGCATAGTTGTCGCCTCTAACATAGAGAAGATTTTCTTACCAAGAGCTTTTACAAGCAACAGACGGATTCAGTGAAGCCAACCTTCTTGGCATTGGAAGTTTTGGTTCAGTATATAAAGGAACGCTTTTAGAGGATATGAATATTGCCGTAAAGGTTTTCAATTTGCAATTAGAAAGAGCATTCAAGAGTTTTGATGTCGAATGTGAAGTGATATGCAATACTCGCCATCGAAATCTGACAAGAATCATCAGCAGTTGCACTTATAACATGGGTTTTAGAGCCTTGGTACTAGAGTACATGCTTAATGGGAGCCCTAAGAAGTGGTTGTATTCACACAACTATTGTTTGGACATCCTCCAAAGGTTAAACATAATGATAGATGTTGCATCAGCCTTGGAATATCTACATCGTGGTCATGCAACACCCATTATTCATTGTGATTTGAAGCCCGATGTCTTGCTTGATGAAGAGATGATTGCACATGTTTCTGATTTTGGTATTGCCAAACTCTTTGGTGAAGGGGATCTTATGGCACAAACCACTGCCTTGGCAACAATTGGTTATATGTCACTAGGTGATGGTCCATGCTTATTATATCAATTAATTTTCAGGCTTCCCTTTTTATTTTTTGCACTTGTATTGTCCTTTTCCTTTTTAGATTTTATTTTCATTGTTGATTTTCTAATTAATGTTGATTTGGTGCATAGAGTATGGAATGGAAGGAAGAGTATCGACAAGATGTGATGTCTATAGTTATGTTGTCATGTTGACGGAAATATTCACAAGGAAGAGGCCGACAGATGAAATGTTTTCCGGAGAGATGGGCTTGAAGCATTGGGTGAAGGAAGCATCAGATGGTTCAATAATTGAAGTTGTGGATACCAATTTGATAGGAACAGATGATGAACACTTCTCTGTTAAGGAGGAATGTGTATCATATATCTTGGGTTTGGCCCTGGATTGTTCAAATGATAAACCTGAGGAAAGGATCAACATCAAAGACGCCTTGGTTAGGCTTGAGAAAATTAAAATCTCCTTTTCAGATAATATTGGAATGGCTGGCAAAAAAATCCTATGAATTAAGATGTATCAAGTTTAGTAGTATTTTGTACTTGCTGCATTTTCTTTATCTCCATTTTTTATATAGTGAACATCCATCCAAAAATTCTGAATAATAGTTTGCAACTATTTTCGGGAAGAGGCAAAAATTTGTAGAGTTCTTTATTAGACTGTTGGGTTATTGGGGAAAATGGAAGGGCAGTGTAAAGAAAATTTAAGAGTGAACTTGTTATCAGAAAGTATTGCGTGGTGTTGCATTGTTATGCTAAGATTTCTAAAAATTTACAAATGTAATTTTAAACATTTGACAATACCTCATTAATAATAAAAAGGATATCCGATAAATTTGGGTTAGTATAGGAGAGTCGATGGAATGTCTCCTGTAATTTAATTTAAGAAGATTCTTCTTGGAACGTCTCCTGTGAAAGGTTTAAGGTTTTATTTTTTTTTTTATTTTTTATTATAAAAAAAATGTGAAAACGGTTTCAAAAATTCTAATAATTAAGAATTATGTTTAGTAAACAAAAACAAACTTTTTTCCCAACTAGTTGGGGTCGGTTGAAATTCCAGAGACGATATTGAACTAGATCATTTTTCCTTAACATAATTCAGCCACAAGAGTTACTAAATTCTAATAATCAGCATAACCTAGCATGGATTCACTGTTGATAAGAAATAATTCACTGCATATCTTGTAAAAAATTATACAAAATTAGAAAATTCACAAAAAAACAAAAAAAAATGATCACATTTGTAAAGTCTTAAATTACCTGATATATTTGAGTACATCCTAAATCGCTGATATATTTGAGTATATCTGTAAACAATAAACTTAATCAATACATATATATATATATATATATTGTGAGGAAAGGAATGGGATCTCCCAGTGACAAAACAAATGTCACAGCATAGTGAATATTAACATCCAAAAATGAGGAGGGGAGAGGAAAAAAAAAATTTATATTTTTTATAAATAAATGGGTTAATTGCGGAAAATTACCTCCAACTATTACCAAGTTGCAGATTATCCGATAAGAGTTGTAAATACTCCTGAACTATGTAGAAGTTGCAATTGGTCAAACACCATTACTGCAAGGAGGGGAGCCTATTCGCCATCAAACAGCAACTGTAAGAGTGAGCTGCTCGGGGCTTGGTATGAATATTTTTGTTCATCTTAATCCAAAAGCAAAAGGGCTTCTGATGATTTTACATGTCCTGGTGACACCACAAGACAAACAAAATTTCCTGTTTGAACCCTCAGAAAATTGTGCAGAAAATTCTACATAGATTTCCCGAGGGAAAAAGGGAACAACCACATCCACTAGCTGTTGCTTTTCTCGGAAAAATCACATACAGATAGTTCATTTCACTAACTTAAAGTCTAATCGGCAGAGTATCTAAAACAACCAGAACGTCTTATATACAAAATAGATCATTTCACTCATTGGGACATTTCACCAACCCTAAGACGCGCATATTTAAAAATGAGACGTGAATTTAACGTCAAACCACAATAGAAAATTGATTCATATAAATTAGAGAACAAATTAGCTCATCACACTTACTAGCTTGAAAGCCCACCTAGGGTTTGCAAATGGGCTCCTCGCATGCAGAAAAAGGACTGACATTGACCAGAACTAAAAGCCCAGATCTTTCCACTCCAACTCCAGAGAGAGAGAACAACAAATAATATCAAGGGAGTTTTTGTCTATGCAAAAGGGGCAAATTTGACATTTTGATTTACATCAATGACTAAATAACCGTTAGTTTTTAAACCGTTTGTTGACGGAAGGGGGTTATTTGTAAGAATAGAGATAGTTCCGGGAGTTTCCCACTAAAATAGAAGTTGAGAGAGGTTTGATGCAACTTCGGTCATAGTTGGAAGGGATTTTTCTGCAATAAACTCTAAATAAATTAATTGAAAATTCAACAATCCATAAACAAGCACATACACATGAAGGAGACTTAACAATTAATAAATTTTAATCATTTTAACACATATGGCCATATTTTTCATTTGCATTCACAAAATTTTGACATATAAATTCTGAGAACTCTATTTTTGCTAAGGAAGTTTTTTGTCCTTCGAAACGCGGTTGAAATTTTGATAATGTATTTCAAAATGATTCTTGAATAATTTTTTATCTTATTATTATATACATATTATAAAATTATATTTAATTTAACCGCAGACATTTTAATTTGATTCCATACTCCTTCGTCCCAATTTTTAGAATTGTCTCAAAATTTCTATCTACTTAAAAGTTCAAACAACACATTTTTTAACATCTTTCCATAAAATGCTCTTAAAATTTTAAAATTTTCAAACCTGAATAAACATATATTCAAACTTAAAATGGTGACTTAATAATTTTTATAGAAGATAATACAATAATTACATACCTTCAAAAAAATTTATTCTCCAAAAAGGACATCTAATGCTAGATAAAGCCACAGAGGAAGTATAGATTTAAGCTAAACAGGCGCGTTGTTCTAAAAACTCTCAACCCTTTAGTCAAGGGCGCTAGGGGGTCCCATTGTCCCACAAAAATTTTCAAAATTTTTATAATACCCAAAAAAAATGGTTTATTTACAAATATAACTTAACTTGTGGTCCTAAAATTCATTAAAAAAATTAATTGGCCTTCCCAAATTTATTTCAAAACACATACATTGGCCTCAAAATAAAATAGTTTGAAAATAAATTTTAACTTGTATCATCTAAAACTTATAAAAAAATAATAATAATAATTTAATTTGTACCATTTTAACCATATTCTTGAAAGAACAAATCTTTTAAAGCAAAATTTAAATTCATTCTTATTGTAGTCTTTACTTAAAACTAATACTTTTAATTGTCACTTGCTAAATGATAATGTCTATGATTACTTTTTGTACAAGTATTTATTTATTTATTTTTAAACGTTTAAACAATTATATGTGTGCCTATATATATATATGTATGGAAAATTACAGAGCCATTATTGGGCCCAAGCAGCCCAACATCCAGGCAACCCAGATTACAGGCAGCCGAAAGGCCCAAGGCCTTGAACTAAGACAGAACAAACCTACAAGTCTGTGACAACAAAGTGAATCTGTGACCCATGACCATGATCGAACCAAGGGCAAGCATAGCTGTTGATATCTATCGATGACAATCCGGTGGGGTCTTCGAGCAATGGGCTGTTGATCGCCCATGTCCTTTCATTCCGGTGGCCGTGGAGGTGGTCGGTGCCACCCTTGAGGAATAAACCATTCACTCGCGAGCGCGGAGATGGAGATCCTTTGAAAACTTGAGGATTCGGGCGATGGAGTTAGCAACGAGTTTGAGAACTGCTGTCTGTGATGAAGGTGAGTTCCTGTAGATGCGATTATTCCTTTCTTGCCATATATTATACACCAGCACTGATCGAGCCAGCTTGCATAGATGAATTCTAGGTTTTTTGTTAAACCCAGTGTTGGCTTGTCGTATAACTTACTGAAGTAATAGTTTTGTTATCTTACAACTTTCGGAATTTCGTTTAGTTAAAATTATTTTGTTTCTTAATCTTTCATCAAAGTAATAATATATTTTTTAGAGCAAAATCAAAGTATTCAAAACCGTTTTTAAAAAATTGAATTTTTAATAAATTAAAACAATTCCTGAAGACAAATTGATTTAGGTTGTATTTGTTTTTTTTTTTTTTTTCAATTTTTGAATTTTGTAAGGTATGTGTGCTCTGACTATATATTATGAACAAAATTATATTACAATTGATTTTTAAAATAATTTTTTTAATTTTAATTACATAATACAAAGTTGGCCCTCCAAAGTAAAATTCCTGGCTTCGGCCTGCCTATAGTCCATGGCCACAACTGTAGATATTGTTGTTGTATACAAATATATCTTCCATATGTGTTAGATGTCAGTTTTTAGTTAGTGGTGGATACCATGTATTTGATATTACTGTTGTATTAAAGTTATTTTCGTGCTCTAGATGCTTGTGTTTTAGAAAATGTAGTTTTTAAGAAATATGTACTTTTCAAGTATTTATCAACATTAGGCTATTAAGGACATTGTTTACAAGACTTTAGAAGAAAATATAATAAATGAATATAAAATGAAAATCAATGTATATTTAGTGCTCTTTTATAATAAAAAAATGTATAAAATGTCAATAATTCTGGTAAGCATTAGATTGACAGTGCCCCAAATAATATATAAAATGATTGTATATATACTTGTTCTGCGGTCCAAACAAATGCTTCAACTAATTTTTTTTTTTTTTTGAAAGTTAAGGTAAATTTTATTGAATAGAAAAAAGATATTACAATAGCCTAAGAAAGGTTATGATAAACAAGCCTGGCCCATAGGCGGCCCAACCACAACAAACAACAAACAAAGAAGACGTCATCGAGCATGACTAGAAGCAGTCAACATTCCGGTAAACAGCAAGAATTGCAGCAGGGTGATGACCACCTTTCAATGATTAATCAGGTGGTTTACGAGGTGGCCGGAGAATGGAAGAAGGAATTTCCCATTCATGGAGGATTCGATGGTTGATTGGAGAGTCCAGTGGAGGGTCTGCCATGATTTTCAATTTGATTGTCTCAATGGTTTTGTGGAGGATTGAGTTCGCCGAATCCTTCTTCTTCTTGAAAATACGTCTGTTCCTTTCAGCCCAAACATTATAGACAAGTGAGGAGAGTGCTAATCTAGAGATAAAACCCCTGAAGTCTGCGAATTTGTTCCTCCAGTGGTGTGAAGCCCATGCTACAAGTGCATTCCAACTAGTTGGTAAAATGTGGAAGTCACATCTGGATTGAATGAATGACCAAATGGGAACATGGTAATTGCATTGGAAGAAGAGGTGGTCATGGGATTCAAGTGAGGCTGAACAAAGAGGACAAAGGTTAGGAGAATTGAGGAAGGATGTGCAACTTCTATCAAGGGTGGATAATCTAAATTGAATAGCTAGCCAGAGGATGAAAGAGTGTTTGGGGATCATGGGTTTCGACCATACCAATTTAGACCATGGAACAGATGGGATATGCTGTGACATAAACTTGAGTGTATGAGCTATAGAGAATTCACCTGATGGTGAAGGGATACAGTGAAATTTGTCAGCAGTGTTTGGATTGGGTGTTGGTAAAGAATTTGGATGGAGGAGTTGGGGTAATATGTCAGTGATTAAGCTGGGGAAGGACCATGAGTGTCCATCAATGAAAATATTCAGCATTGTGTTGCTATCAAATGTGGATTGAGAAATCTGCAAGTTGGAAACTTGGAGATAAAGTGGACCATGTGAAGACCAACTGTTAAACCAAAAATTGGAGGACATGCCATTCCCAATTTCTAACTTGACAAGAGGTCTTATGGCTGGTCTAAGTTGAAGTAGTTTCCTCCAAGTCCATGAGCATTGGCTAGGAATATTGACCTCCCAAATGCTCCTCCCTTTCAGAAGATAAGTGTTGACCCATGTGATCCAAAGCATGCCTCTTTTTTGCTTGATAATGTTCCACAGGTGCTTCATAATTGCAATTTTGTTCCAAGGCTTAAGGGAAGGAATCCCAAGGCCACCAGCTCTGATAGGCAAGCAAATAGAGGGCCAAAGGATTTATGCTCCATGTTTCTTGAGTTCTAGACCTGTCCAAAGGAATGCTCTGAAGATGCATGTTAGTTCATTGATAATAGATACTGGGAGTATAAATTTTGAGCTCCAGTAAATTTGGATACTATGAAGAATTGACTTGAGCAGTTGAAGTCTTTCTGCAAAGGACAGAAGCTTACTTATCCAATGCCTAATTCGAGCTGTGATCCTATCAGTGAGGGCTTCAACTATTGGTTTCTATGCAAGTGTTAGAATCATTAATACTGGGTGGGGTGAGAGTGACACATGCAAATCTTCTCAATTGATTTGGTGTGGCTGCGATTGTGGAAATTCAATTATGCATTATCATAATCACCAATATATGGTGGTTGTGATTGTTACTAATCAATTATGTATCTTCATAATCACCAATAATGGTGGTGGATGTGATTGTGGATAATCAATGATGCATCATCATAATCACCAATATATGATTTTACATCTTATATAACTTCTCTCCAATCTATAGTTCTTTGCTACGTACAAGTCCTATATATATTATCTCCACAAAACTCAAACTTTATGGAAAAGGTTTGCTTCCTTTTGTCCATTGCATTGTTGATAAACTATTGTTCTAGGGTTTGTTTAGCTAGGTCCATCAAAAACCTGACTACTGATCAATCAGCTCTTTTTGCCTTCAGAGCCCACATCACTTCTGACCCTGAAGATGTATTGGCCAAAAATTGGACCACCATTACCTCAGTTTGCAATTGGATTGGTGTGTCTTGTGGTCTCACCCACCAAAGGGTCACAACCTTGCACCTTTCTGACATGGGTCTCAACGGCACCATCACTCCATATCTTGGAAATCTCTCATTCCTCGCATTACTTGACATCAGTTACAACAATTTCGATGGCTATATACCCGAAGAGATTGGCAAACTTTCGAGACTAAAAGTACTAAACATGGGTTTTAACAAGCTCACAGGTTTCATACCATATAACATCTTTAACCTTTTTTCTTTGGAAGTAATTGCTTTCACAAGCAATAGCCTATCTGGAAGCCTGCCACTAGACATATGTAGCCATCTTCCTGAACTTAAAGTACTTTATCTTTATAAGAATTGGCTTAACGGTGAAATTCCATTGAATTTATACAAATGCTGGAAACTCAAAAGTTTATCATTGTCACGCAATGAATTCAATGGCAGCATATCCGGAGAAATTGGAAACTTGAC